AGAGATTGCCGTGAGTTGTACTACTTTGATGTAAATAAGAATATCGACGTAGCAGTAGGTGAAAGTTGTCATGATATGATATATTTCCTAATATTTCCTATGATATGAGAATTTGCGAAAGCCAACCTGGCTAGGGATACGTAGTCGTGTGCAGAAGTCGACTTTTAGAATTTTCGATTCTGACATCTGACCAAAAAGTCGATTTTTGCCTTTGACTAAAAAGTCGACTCTTCGATCTTTCGACTTTGTCAAACCTATTCAAAATCGATTTTCGACTTTCAACGACTTTATTAAAAATTTGTTTTTTATATGAATGTTTATATTTTTTATATGAACACATAGTACAATTATAAAAGGTAACAGCAAATCCCACCTGATTTGGTTCCAACGTAATACTAGTGTCAATATGAATTTGACAAATTAGTTTTTTTTTAAAATCACCCAACAGGAAAATTAGGAACGCATACAATTTGAAATTATTCTTTATTATATGTGCTCCCGTATTCAATTTACTCAATCTGCCTGCTGGGAAAGTTAGAGGAAGCAAATCTTTCTTCATGGAATAACTCGCAATTCCCTGCATTTTCATATGTGTTACACATATAAGTGGTAATGGCTCAATTATAAAAAAGATGTGGAAGCGGTAGAAATATAAATTTGATAGATTTTCATTCATGTTTTTCAAATTTTATTTTGAGGATTCGAAAATATTTCATTTTCAAAATAAATATAATTTGTTTGCTTGTTTATATTTTTCCGTGAAGTATAACTGACATTAGTATAACTTACAACAACAAATTTCCATGTGGTTGTTGTATCGTTTGTTGTACAACAACACTTGCTGTTACCTTCTATTATTATACCATGATATGAACAGATAAAATAGTTCAAGGTCTATATATTGGGTCATCCAGTAAAATAACCATAACCATAATAACCTCTGACAAAGGCATCGATATAATTTTCAATTTGTTAAAAAATTCTGAAATCAATAATTTATTAAGATAAATCAGGACTGTGTTTATTTGCGCTACAACAACAATTTTTGACAGAAAACATAGATACAGGGTTGTGTATTTCCTGAAATTCGCCTTCTGGATGATGATATTTAGGCCATGATAAAGTTCTGAAATGTGAAGAAAATTTGAAAGTCCATCACGAAAAGTCGACTTTGAGATTTCCTCAAAAATCAAAAATCGACATGGACTTTTTGACTTTTCAAAACAAAAAGTCGATTAGTCGAAATTCGATTTACTTATACCTAAACCATGGCATAATTAAAGAAGGTAGTCTCAATGGAGAATTTGATCATGGCAACCCTTATTATTTGGAACTCATCCATCAATTTTTTAGTAATATAAGGCCCGTACCTAAATTCATTGCGTTGCGTACTAAAATATCCACCTTTTCACCTTTATAGGGTTTGTTGAACGTCCGTATTACCCAAATACGGAAGGCCGTTATTTACTTGTGTGTCAATTGAAAACAGCGAAAATTGGTGAAAACATTTTCTTAATTAACCGAAAAATGTTTACATTTATAGAAACACAAATTTTTCAATGACTGGAATTCTATTTTCAAAGAACAAAAAAATTCAAAATACGCATTGTCATAGTTGAAAATGTTCAACTTTAAATTTTTATACGCAATGCGTATTTGGGTAATATTCATTGAAATACATGTATTTTACTTTTGAGGTGAATAAAATCGTACGCATACGCATGAATTTAGGTAGGACCCTAAAAAAGAAATTCCATAAAATTTAATGTACGACGATTGGCATATTTTCAATAAATTAAACAAAATATAGTTTTTAAAGCTGAACATTGATCTCAAGATTTAACCATGGTTGTTACATCTTATATTTATAAGTTTTAAGGGCAGGGAACTTCAAAATATTTATAAATATAAATTATTTATAAATGATATGCGTACAATTCGAAGGAAGATATTGGCTAATTTTTGAAAAAAAATTGGAAACATATGACTGCATGAGACTACCTTTATAATTATGCCATGTTCCTAAACCTAGGTAGTAGTCCATTTAGCAAAGCTGATGTCTCGATTAACTGTCAAAGTGGGTAATTTCTAGTTGAATTCGATGTGCAGTGTTGCCAACCATGTGGAATATTATAAGGAAAAATTGACAGAAGGTCGAGACCAAGATCTATTAATAAGGTCACCAAGATAGCAATCGAAATCGGAAAACAGCTGTTTTTTCTCAAGTCTAATGTCAAAAATTTCGACTTTGTTTACGTTTTCATAATGGAAGTCAATTCACAATAATGCATTTTGACAGCAAACTTGAGAGGTATCGATAATCAGCTGGTCTCCCTTGGTGACCTTATTTATAGGCCATGGTCGAGACCAAGATCTATTAATAAGGTCACCAAGGGAGACCAGCTGATTATCGATACCTCTCAAGTTTGCTGTCAAAATGCATTATTGTGAATTGACTTCCATTATGAAGACGTAAACAAATCCGAAATTTTCGACATTAGACTTGAGAAAAACAGCTGTTTTCCGATTTCGATTGCTATCTTGGTGACCTTATTAATAGATCTTGGTCGAGACAATAACAAAGGTTTTTGTTTTGATACATCACCTTATTATTGCATCATGGCAAGATCTATTAATATTGTCACCCAGCTAGCGAAAGTCAGCTGTTTTTTTTTTTCTTCTCAAGACTAATGTCAAAAAATTGAACTTTGTTTACCTTTTTATAATGCAAGAAAATTCACAATAAAGGATTTTGACAGCAAAATTGAGAGGCAGTTGGTCTCCCTGGATGGCCTTATTTATAGGACTTGGCTTTCCCATTCCTTTTGGGAAATAAATGAATGACTTTCTCCTAGGATCTGAGCAGTAATATTCTTGTGAGACCCTTCATTCTTGAATCTTGTCTATTAGGATTGCTGAACGTCAAATACTTCCTCTCTAATTCTATTAACAAATGTTGGTTTAATTTTCTATTACGACTTTCCAAAGTATTTCTCTTTGTGCAAAGTCATTGCTTTATAGGAAATAAGAATTTCCATTACCAAACAAAACAAAATTTCAATTGCGTCTTGTTGAAAAAAATATATATCTACCGTCTAAATCCCCAACCTTTCGAAATTACATGCAATTCAATAATATTACCAATTCAAAACATTTTGTAATTGACTGATAAACCCCAAAACGATGAAGTGCTAAAGAGAACTCATCGAGACAGTATTCAGGAAATATTTCATTTGAAAGAGTTATATATTTACATTCGATTTACACATTGGTCGGACGGTAACACTTAACATAAATGTGAAGTGTTGTTGTTGCTGCTGATTTTTTTTAATTACGTTAATAATATTATCAGAAAAAAAACTGGGTTCTTGAGAAAGAAAGGAAAAAATGACACACTTCTCGGTGTGTGAAGTACTTTGCGATTAAATGGGAAATGTAGACAAGAACCCACAATATGGGTAATGTGGTTATCGGGAAATTTGTAACGTTTGGAAAAAATCTTAGAAAAAAATATATGTAGAAGAAAAAAACTAACTTTGATAGAAAATTGAAAATAATTGACAGCTTGTCATTCATTTATAATTTTGTTAATACAATTATATTTGATATCTTCTTATAATAGACGCCACTTAAGTGGACATTTAAGTATGAAAAATATTCCGTAATATTTTGAAAAAAAAATATTAAGTTATCAATTTTGAGTTTTTTTCATTACAGAATGTAAATGCGATTTCCCTGTGGGACATTTTCGTATAACTTCAGGTCCGTGCACACTACTTAATTTACGTCATGACCGATATCGTCTATACGTACATATTTTAAATGGCGCTTAAGTTTTCGCTTAATGACTCAAAAATTCGTTTGTTTGAGGGATCAAAATATACGTTGTCTTCGCAGAAAAAGATTTCATAACCTGACAAGGCCCATGGGGTCTATACAGTAGACCACGGATATAAGAACATAAAAAAAATCGAGAAATTTGTTCTTATAAGCGGGTTTTTCTTATATGAATGTATTTTATATAATAAACCGCATTCTTATATAGGTGTAACCTTTTCTTATGTCCGTGTTTTTCTTATATAAGATGTTCTTATATCCGTGGTCTACTGTATATAATTTACAAGATCTATTAATAAGCCGAAATCGAACTCTAAACATGGGCTATTTAGTAGAGTTCCTAGAAAAAAAAACACTTGAGATGAAAAAAACTGCAACCAACTTCAGACTGCTGTCATTACTAAGCCACTCGTCCGACAGCTGTCAAAATTTATTCCAGTGACAGCTCATTACATTTGAGCACTCCAGCACTTAAATGTAAATAAACCTTTAGTGTCTCGTAGCATCGCTCGTTACCGTGATACTGGTAGCGTAGTCCGACGTCAAGGAAGGGGACGGAAGAAAACAGCAACATCAGCAGAAAAGGTTCGAAAAGTAAAGAAACGACCTTATAGAAATCCGCGTTGCAGTGGCTGAAAAATGGCTCGTGAGCTGAACATATCGCAATATTCCATTCGGCAAATATTGAAAAATGAGCTCGGGGTAAAGCCATTGAAATTCCAAAAGGTGCAAAAACTTACACGGCAACAGAAAGAAAATTGACTCAAAAAGGCTAAAGAGTTGCTTCGCTTGGTCGAAAGTGGTGAACGGCCGAATTTGGTTTTCTCCGGTGAGAAAACATTCGTTGTCCAGCAGTTTGTAAACAAATCAGTTTGCAAGCGATTATTTTGATCGTATTTACTTGCCATAGAGGTCAGCTAAAAATGTGCACCTTTGGTTGGCCACCAAAACAGCCGATGGTCGCTCTGAGCTCGTAATTATCGACCGTAGCATCAGAATAAATGCCGCAAAAATATTCTGGAGGGTGTATTAAAGCCTTGGGCATGCAAACATTTTGGCCGCAGATCCTGGACATTCCAACAGGACTCTGCACATCGCACTCAGCACGCGGATTGGTATCCAGAGATTTTCCTCGCTTCATTTGCGGCGCACAATCTCCGGATACCAATCCGTTGGACTATTGTGTCTGGAGTATTTTGGAAAGTAATTGTACGTTTACATTTAACCGGATTTCGTTAACCCAGTGGGTTCCAATAGTCAAATCCTTTGCATATATGTCAAATAAATCCTTATAAAGTAGGTTAACCCTTTAAAAAGTTCTAATATACAAGGAGTTTAAGGCTGGTACTAAAAAATAGCAAAGTGTCGACCACCTCTAGCAAACGCTTCACCGGGAATGGGCCAAAATACCGCAGAACAACATTCGGGCAGTGTGTGACGGTTTCATTGGCCGTTTGAAGGCCGTAATTCGTGCCAAAGGTGACCAATTCGAACAAAACTAAATTTACTCTAACATTTTATGTCATTTCCGACATTTTTTGCTTTCAATTAAATAAAATTAAAAAAAAAATGTAAAAATTATGGCGTTTGATTTTGTTTCAGTTTTTGTTTTGTCACACCCTGTAAGTGTACCTATGGTGGAGGGTATCAAAAGTTCTGCCCGTTCGAACTTAAAGCGTTTTTCACTTGTTTATTTTTCTTTTCTACAAGTTAAAAAAATTCCCCATCAATAATTACCTGTTCACCCGAAACTTCACATTGCAGCTGGCCAATGGAGGGTCTCTTCTTGTCACGTATGGTCATACGATAATTTTCCATGCGGGGTAAGGCATCTCTGGAAAAAAGAAGAAAATATAAAAATGAAAAAGAAAATCCCACAATATATTTGTTTTTGCTTTAACCCATTCGGGCGCCACCCTCCTTTTGAAAAAAACACCTCAGGTGGCAATACAACTGTCAGAAAACAACCGATTTAATATTTTGTATTGAATCATTTCCTATGCTACACCTAACTTCATGCTGAAACTAAATTTTATACAAAAATCGATATTTTATTAATAAAATATTTAAGTATTGAAATTAAATTAAAATTTTTGAAGAACAAATGTCTTCTGACGTTATCTGGGTTAGTTCGAAAAAACCCCCCGTCATAAAAGAGGTGTGGAATTGATATCATATCTTATTGTTATTCTCTCGCTACAGATTCACTTTTATTCGTCAGCCAGCCAGTCAGACACTTCATTTAAATGATAATAACAAGAACAAGAAAATAACAAAAAAAAAAAAAAAAACATATGTTTACAAAATGTTAATTATGCCGGAGAGCAGCTATTGCCGAATGCAAAAGTGGAAGCAAATTTCGATTTTGTTTTTATTTTATTTTTGGTAGGTATTGAATAATAAATGTTAATAAGTTTTGTTTTTCTGTGTGGTTTTTTTGTTTGTTTATAGCATCCGAATACCAATGCACAATAATGTGTTTATAATATAAATGATTTGTTCCTTGTTTTGTTTTTGTTCGAAGTTAGATGTTTGGTCGGTTGGACTGTTGTTCTCCGTATTCTTTTGTTATTCTTAGTAATTTTGTATCGGTTTGAACGGGTTCAAACAAGTTAAAACTGAAATGTCCATTCATACCGGCTAACCAACCAGCCAACCAACTGAAAACATTTAGTCATCAAACATTCCAAAGCAATCAGTCAAGAAGTTGAAAGAGAAGATAATTCATAGCTATTATGAAATTATTGTGATTCTGCTTTAAGGGGGGCAGCGCATAGAAGGCCTAAAAATGAAGAAGACCTCAGGGTGAGGAACTTTGGAGCCATAAGAGAAGATAGAATGATTGGAAAAAAGTCTTTCTATATAGAAGTTTTATATCTAAAGATGGTCTGTAAACGTTTAAGGTCATAGGGTTTATGAAAGCCGCATCGAAGTCGCCAGATTAGAATTGGTGCATTCCTCCTGATTGGTGCCCTGATTGGTTGGGAAAACTACAGATAAACCTAAAGTCGAAGAAGAGACTTACGAGGAAAAGCTAGGCGAAACACTACACCTCGATGGAAAGTACCGTGTTGTCTTCAATAAGTTGAAAGCCGCATCGAAGTCGCCAGATTATAATTTAAGAATTGGTGCATTCCTCCCGATTGGTGCCATGATTGTTTGGGGAAACTACAGATAAAATAAAGTCGAAGCAGAGATTTACGAGGAAAAGCAAGTCGAAACACTAAATCTCGATGGAAAGTATCGTGTTGTTGTCTTCAATAAGTTGTCTAATTGTAGGAAATCTGTGAAGAAAACTAGAAACGGATCGTTCATTTATTTCCATTAGTTAATTTTAGTTCAATCGTTCATTGGTACATATCAGTTAGGCCAAATAACGGGAAGAACTAGATAAACGATTGGATCAAATTGAAAGCGAGCAACGAATGAACTGAACCTAGCACCGATCGTTTCGTTTGGGAAATAGTTCCATTGAACTAGTTCGTTCCGGAACGACCCAACTCTAGTGAACATGGTTCCGCGATGTAGCCAGTGATAATTCGACAATGTCAGTTGAAATGGCTTCCTGGATGTCGTTGCTAAATTGTCGTTTCAGATGTGTCGAGGGGATGGATCCTGAATCACAATATAATGGTTGGGATGCGTGGGCAGGTGACATACAAAACTGCAACAAAGTCAAACGCCATAATTTTTACTTTTTTTATACCCTCCACCATAGTATGGAGGGTATATTAATTTTGTCATTCCGTTTGTAACTCACCGAAATATTCATTTCCGACCCTATAAAGTATATATATTCTTGATCGGGGTAAAATTCTAAGACGATCTAGCCATGTCCGTCCGTCTGTTGTAATCACGCTATCTTCCGAAGGAATTTAGATAGGGTGCTGACATTTTGCATAGGGTTGTCTTTTGTCTGCAGGCAGGTCAAGTTCGGAGATGGTATATATCGGTCCACGTTTAGGTATAGCTCCCATATAAGGGTACCCCCCAAATTTTCGGTATTTTGGGGTTCTTGAGCGCGTTTTTCGACAGAATTCGCTGAAATTTGGTACTTTGGGTTCTTATTGGGTACCAAATGTTGCCACAAAAAATTATAAATATAGACCCACTTTTTCTGGTAGCCCCCATATAACGATACCCCCTAATTTTCAGTATTTTGGGGGTTTGGTCGTATTTTTCCACTGAATTGGCTGTAATTTAGTACTTTGAGTTCTAAATAGATTCCAAATCTCTCCACAAAAAATTATGAATATAGGTCCATTTTTCTCTGGTAGCCCCCCATATAAGGGTACCCCCAATTTTCGGTATTTTGGGGTTCTTGATCGCATTTCTCCACCGAATTCGCTGAAATTTGGTACATTGGGTTCTTATTGGGTACCAAATATCTCCACTAAAAATTATAAATATAAGTCAATTTTTTCTGGTAGCTCCCATATAAGGGTACCCCCAAATTTCAGTATTTTGGGATTCTTTAGCGCATTTTTCAACCGAATTCGCTGAAATTTGGTATATTGGGTTCTTATTGGGTACCAAATATCTCCACTAAAAATTATAAATATAAGTTATTTTTTTCTGGCAGCCCCCATATAAAGGTACCCCCAAATTTCGGCATTTGGAGGATCTTGAGCGTGTTTTTCAACCGAAATCACTGAAATTTGGTATTTTGTAGCCGTATATGGAAACAAATCTCCCTACCAAAAATTATTAATATAACCCCATTTTTATATTAATATAATTACCTGATTTTTTCGCGTTTGGGTTTGGTTCTAACACTCTGTTGTAATCATTTCACCTGCGAAGGATATCGAGATAAAAAACTAGAACGTACGGTTCGATAATGAACTATATGTGAACTATATTGTTTACATATGGTATGTTCCCGTACTGCAATAATCTACTATTTTTTACTCCGATAACATTTTTTTCCTTTATGATATCGAAGAAAATGGTAAATTCGAGTAGACCAATAATCGGATTGTAGAAATGTCGGTATATGTCAATTTTTTGGTATGTTCCCTATATTTTCATTTCAAGTACCTGTCAGTATATCTATGGTGGAGGGTATGCTAAGTTCGGCCCGGCCGAACTTAACGCTTTTTCACTTGTTTAATTTTATTGAATGAAAGCAAAAAATGTCGGAAATAGCATCACCTTCGGCATTATGGCCTTCAAACGGCCAATGAAACTGCCACACGCTGCCCCAATGTTGTTCTGCGGTATTTTAGCACATTCTCAGCGAAGCGCTTGCTTTTGAGGTGATCGACACATTTTTTTAGTGCCAACCTTGCTTTCCAAAATACTCCAGACACAATAGTCCAACGGATTGGTATCCGGAGACTTTGATGGCCATTGAGCGCTGTAGAGTTGGGTAGATCCGGAACGAACTAGTTCTTTGGAACTATTCCGAGAAAGGAACGATCGGAGAGTTGGGTAAATCTGGATCCGCTGTAGAGTTGGGTAGATCCGGAACGAACTAGTTCTTTGGAAGTATTCCGAGAAAGGAACGATCGGTACTAGTTCCAGCTCTATATTAGTTATAGTTAGTTCCTTTTTCTGATTTCGTTCCTTTTTGGTCTTGTTCTTTTTTCTGATCTCGTTCCTTTTACTGATTTCGTTCCGTTATTCCCATATTCTTCATTCGTTCTCGTTCGTTTTTCAAATGCTGTCACATTGTCGACAATATATAAGGTTACGCTATCAATTTATTGATGTGTAAATAGTAAAATTAATTTATTTAAAATATTTTTATTTATGTATTAAAAAAAATAAATTATGGTCCTGCAGTAGCATTCTATAGCTTCTAAATATTCTACTAAATAGAAATTATTTAAAATAATTTTTTTTGTCGTATTTCGACAATTTTTAATTTTTTCATCTATTAACAAATCAACACGGATTTATGTGAGCTAAAAAAAAGAACGATGAAAGAGAGAGATTCAAAGGAATTATCTAGGAGTGGGAACTATATGGAGCAAAGGAATTGTATGAAGTAAAGGAACTATATGGAGCAAATAAACTACATTAAGGAACTAGTTCCTTTTTTAAAAAAATGAACGAGAAAGATCGATCCGCTACGTGAACTAGATTGCCTAACTATAGTGCCCTGGAAATGAAGCGAGGAACCTCATTTTGTAACAATTCTTGAGTGGCGCATGCTGAGTCCTGTTGGAATGTCCAAGGTCTGCGGCCAAAATGTTTGCGTGCCCAAGGCTTTAATACATCCTCAAGAATATTTTCGCGATAATATTCGGCATTTATTCTGTTTAATTGTAGAAAGTCTGTGGAGAACACTAGAAGTGTACAAATGAATTATATGAAGAACTGAGATTATTGGAGGAGCAGGTAATTTATTTAGAAGAATCTCTGGCAATTTATTTAGAATAAACAAAACTGGAGGAACGTGCTGTGGCGGAAAATCCAATGGAGGTTGTTTCGAAACCAAGAGATTATGATAAAAAGCGTAATATCACTGAAGAAGAA